TTGAATTTTTTGTATCTTCTTGATTCAACTTTGCTAACTGGTGAGTTTCTAGGAATCTATCCATTTCTTCTGTGTTTTCCAGCATGAGTAAAGACCTTTAAAGTGATTAATAAAGATCTTCTGAATTTCCACATGATCTGTAGTGATTTCATCATTTTAATTTCTCATTGCACACATTTGAGTTTTTTCTTAACTTTTCTTGATAAGGTTGGCTAAGGTTTTACCAATTTTGTTTAATGTTTCAAAGAACCAACTCAATTAATTCTTTGTACTATTTTCTTAGTCTCAATTACATTAAGTTCTACTCTGATCTTTACAATTTCTTCCCTTCTATGAGCTTTGGTCTTGACTTGCCGATTGCTCATTTGTGCTGTTCTGTTTTCCTGAAATGAGAATTCACTGCCATATTTCCTGCTTAGGATTGCTTTCATCGCATCCCACAGGTTTAAGTACGTTATATCTGCATTTTCATTTAACTGTAGATATTGTTCAATTTGTTCTTTAATTTTATCTGTGACACATTGGTTGTTCAAGAGGGGGTTATTTTTTCGTGCGTCTATGTAGTTTTTGTAGCTTCTTTGCCATTAGTTTCCAATTTCATTGCATTATGTTCAGATAATATGCATGGGATAATGTTAGTTCCTTTGCACTTGCTTAGGCATCTTCCTTGGGTAGTACGTGTTCTATTTTGGAGAACATCCCACGTGCAGCTGAAGAGAATGTGTATTCTGATGTTGTTGGGTGGAACCCTCTGTAAACATCTATTAAATTCATTTGTTAACAGGTTTGATTCATTTCTGCTATTTCTTTGCTGACATTCTGTCTTTTGATCTATCCCTTTGTGATAATGGGTTATTATGCCCCTGTTATCCTTGTGTTACTGCATATTTGATGTTTCCTGTCTATTGATATTTTCTTGTATACTCGGGCACTCCCATGTTGGATGCATACATATTTAAGACTGTTACCCCTTCCTCTTGAACTTTTCCCCTAGCAAGTATGCAGTCACTTTCTCTATCTCAGTCGGTCATTTTTGGTTTTAAGTTCAGTTTATCTGTGAAGAGAGTATCTACCATTTCTTTTCTGGGTTCCTGTTGCATGGAGTACTGCTTTTGATATTTTGACTTTTTGTCCATGAATTTCTTTTTGAGTTAAATGTGTTTCTTGTATACATATCTTTGGATCTTGTTTCGTGACCCATTCTGCCAACCTGTTTTTTGTTTTGTTTTGTTTTGTTTTTTTGGATTAGTAAACTGAGGCCATTTACATTGATGATTATAACTGATAGGGTATTGGCCTAGCTTTGTCATGTTATTTTTTACTTGCTTCTCCCTCCTTTTTGTTTGTCTTGTCCAGTGGCTTCTTTCTATTTTTGTGATCATTTTTATCTCTATCTAGAATGTCTTCCAGTAACCTTTCTAGGATTGTTTTGGCGGACATGAATTTCTGCATTTGTTCTTTGTCATGGAAATATCCTGTCTCTTATTTTTGAAAGACACTTTTGTAGGTTATATCAATCTAGGCAGGAAGCTGTTTTAATTTGATTTTTAAGGACTCAAAAACTTTACTGAGCTCTCCTTGACTTGAAGGTTTGTGTTCAGAAGTCAGTGTGATTCAAAAATAAACTTTCCTTTATAGGTGACCGGTATCTTTGGTCTAACAATTTTTACCATTCTGGGATTTTTGGGGAGCTGAATTTCTGGAATCTTGATTATTATATATTTGGCTGTATATTTATTTTGGTTATAGCTTTTTGGGATTCTATATGCCTCAGTTACCTGTATTTCAGATTCTGTCACCATGCTTTGGCAATTTTCTGCTCTTATTTATTCAATTATTTCTTTTTATATCACTTGTGTTGACTTCTGTTTTTTAATTGATATCTAATCAGTTTTACCTTATTTTTCTTTGTATCGTGTTGGAGGTGTTGAACTGTTATTTCATGGTTCTCTGATATTTTTAAGAGATTTTTTTCATTTTTTATCAGTAGCTGCAATTGTGTCTTCAGGATCTGAAAGTCTTCATTATTGTTCAAGCTATTTTGCCAGATTTCAATAGAATTTTAATTTCCTGGATATCTCTTTGCATCTGCTTCATGCATTTTATTTTTTTCTTGTATTATTCTTTCAAAATGTCTATGATTTTCCTATGTGCATCTGTGTTCCTTTATTCATCTATGTCTTCTCTAGCTGGGGTAAAAAATTCCTTCATTAAGATTGTCATTTGTTACATTAGCTTAGAGATTATTTCTGATCTGATTTTCTCTGTAGCCTCATGGATTTGTTTTCTTTACTTTACTTGGTGTTTTTACAAAAATTTAAATTATGTGTCTTCAATGTCTTTATGTCAGCATCTCCTGTACTTGTTCCAGATGGGCTGGAGGTCTGAGACTGCATTTTGTGTTTTATATTGTCATTTTAACTTCTTGGATTGTATTTCAATCATTTCAGTCCCACTAGTTCTGTCAATCCTTTGTGTGTGTTTCAGTCAGTGTCATACTTTGGCTAATATTCACCTACTTGCTGAGCCCCACACTGTAGGAGACAGGCCAGTCACCTAAATTCCTCCTGCACGGTCAGTTGGGTTGGTCCTGGATTCTTCCTGAGCTAACCAGCCTAGGCATATCGGTGTGATACAAACCTTAGCTAATACTGTTGCTGCAGGCTCATACATTTCCAGGCCACTGCACTTGCCTGTCCATGGAGTGCACTACAGCCGGGGCCCTACTGTGTTACAGGGAATCTTGCAGGCCCAACCAGCTTCCCTGCACTCTTCCTGGCCTCCAAAATCCTCCAGGTGGGGAAAGATGCTGCTGAGGCCTCTGCCAGCTGATCAAGTGTTTAGTATAAACCTCAAATCTCTATCTTCTTTATATTTTCAGCCTAAAATAATAGGAAAATTTCAACCAAAAGAAGCAAATTTTAAAAGTGAACAAAACATAGAAAAATGTTCTAAGACAAGTGTTTTAAGTAGAAACAAATTATGTGCCTATAATGGACACTATAAAATAAGAATTTTTGTGAGAATGGCAATTCCCATTTTTCTTCATGATCTATTATGGTAGCCACGAACATTAGCCTCTTGTACTTCATGAGCATTTGAAATGCAACTAATACAGTTGAGGAATTGAGCTATAAATTTATTTAAATTTAATTTATTTCAATTCAGAATTCTTTACTATTCACCACTTTACAGTGGGCCCCCATGTACATGGTATCTACTTCATTACATTATATCTGGTGATGATGTTTTCTAATTTTCAACATTTTTAGTGTGATTGGCATTATATAACAAAGCATTTTACTGGATTCTCTGCTGTTTCTTCATTAAAATTTCAGAAACACTGTTTATTTTACTTATATAGTATGCCTGAGTTATATTACATGGTTCATTTTGCATAAGGAAAAATGCATTATCTGGTGTGAACAATGATTATCATAAACTAAGCAAATCACACATATTTTATATGCAAAAAGTATTCTAATTTAAAGACTTCAGGTGACTGACTGTGCTTGGAATTGTTTCTGTATACACTAGTGTGTTCCATTGATTTATGGGTCTGCTATTTCCCCATTACCATACTGTTTTGTCACTGTAGCTTGATAGTATAATTGAAGTCAAGGATTGTGATGCCATCCTACCTTGCCTTTGTTTCCAAGAATTGGTTTTATCAGTTCTGCTTCAAAATGAATTTTAGCATTGTTTCCTCCAAATCTGTAATGTATGATATTGATTTTTTTTTGTCTTTTTCCTTTTTATCAGTAACAGGGATCGAACTCACGACTGCCTGCTTTCAAGGCAGGCGCATATGTCGCTGAGCAAAACCCCAGCCCCCAATATTGATATTTTGACCAAGACTGCATTAAATCTGTAAATCATTTTTACAGGATGGCCATTGTGATTGTATGTGTTCTTTCTTCCCAAGAACCAGGAAAATGTTTCCATTTTTTTCATATCATCTTCAGTCTCTTTTTTTTCTGAGTACTGTATGTTTCAATGTAAAGTCTTTTACTTCTTTCCTTACATTGAAACTTAAATATTTAAATTTTTTGGATGCAATTTTGAAAGGTGTTATTTTCATAATTTTCCTCTCAGTGAGTATCCTATTCATATACAGGGATGTTTTTGATTTTTGGATGTTGACTTTCTTTCCAACTACAGTAGTGAATTTTTTATTAAATTTGGAATTATTTTGGTACTGTTTATGGGGTCTTCTATGTAGAGTATCATGTCAATCACAATACTCACAATTTAACTTCTTCTTTTCCTATCCTTATTCCTTTTAATTTTTTCTCTTGTCTAGTTGTTCCAGTTAATGCTTCCAGAACTATATTAAACAGGATTCCTGGCAGTGGACACCCTTGTCTTGTTCCTCATTTCACAGGAATTCTTTCAGTTCTTGACCATTCAGTATGCTGTTGGTTTGGCTGTTGGTTTCTCATAGATCTTGTATCAGATAAAGATTATCTATTCCAATTTTTTGTAATTTTTCCCATGGTTGCATATTTGATTTATCAAATGCTTTTTATGCATGTGTTGAGATGATCATGTCATTTTTGTTCTTAGCTCTGTTAATGTTGTGTATTAAGTTCATTAATTTACTTATTTTCAACCATCCTGCATCCCCTGGATGATCCTTGCTCACTGTGTATAATCTTGAGGATTTGCTGTATTCTGTTTGACAATATCTTATGAGGATTTTTACATCTATATTCATTTGGAAGATTTGCCCGTATCTCTGTTTCTTCGTTAGATCCTTCACTGTTTGGTTTCATGGTGATGCTTATTTCCAAGAATGAATTTGGGAGAGCAGATTCACTTTGAATTTCATTAAAGAGTTCCATGTCTCTGAAATGTTATTTAATTTCCATGTTTTTAAATAGTTTTAATGGTTTCTTTTGCCAGTGATTGCCAATTTCATTGCACTATGGGGATCAGACAATATGCATGGGATAATTTCAGTTCATTTAAATTTACTCAAGCTTGTTTTATGAACCAAAATATGTTCTCTTTTAGAGAAAGTCCTGAATGCATCTGAAAAATATGTATTCTGATGTTGTGGGATACAACACTCTGCAGGTATCACTTAAATTCACTTTTTCAAAATTTTGGTGCATTTTTGAGATTTTGTTGATCTTTTTGGTCTAGTTTATATCTGACTGTAGAGCATTGAGTTCTCCCATTACAATTGCATTAGTGCTTATTTGATTTTTCATGTATTTAATATTCATTTTTTAAGCTGAGTACACTGGCATTTGGGTTTAAATTGAGAAGATGCTGTAATTTTGGTGGTTTTTCCTTTGTAAGTGAATTGTTTCTTTGTCTATAAACTTTTAATATTCCATTCTTGTGATGAATTCCTGGAATCCTTACTGTTATACACCTTTGGGCACATTTTTTTTTATCTACCCGATGGAACTGGAGTTCTATATGTCTCAGTTATCTGGATGTAAAATTCTTTTTACGTGCTTGACAAGTTTCTGCCATTACTTCTTTGGATAGATTTTTATATCATTTGTGCTGTCTCCTGTTTTATCACTGACTCAGTCAATCTGGTTATTTTTCTTTGCATCATCTAGCAACTGTTGGAGTGATATATTCATAGCCCTTTGCTATTTTTAAGAACTCTTTATTTTCATGACCACTATATAATCCTTTCTTCCAGATCTGATCCTTTGTCCTGACAATGGCTCATTCTACTACACATACTTTCAATAGAATTTTTTATCTCCTGGATATCTGATTGAATGTGTTTCATGGATTACATTTCTTTCTTATGTTGGGATTTCATGGTTTGCATCATTTTCCTAAGCTCTTCTACTTTTTATCTTTCTCTTTTCTAGATTCACTAATCATGACCTTTATTATGGTCATCATCTCTGAAGTGAAACTGAGTTATTCACCAGGCACAGCAGTTTGCAGCGTCCATTGTTCCATTCTGCTGGTGTGTTTCTCTTTGGAGCCCTCTGTAGTCACCAGTAGTCAATGTACCTCTACAGGTTTGAGCCACCCCTCCCACACTACAGCTCAGAGAGAAAGTGCCACTCCTCACTTCCCATGTCTGCACTTGGTCCCTCTCCTTTCTCTCTCTGCGGGCCCTAATTCTCACCTCAGATACTTGCTCAGTCCTGGGAAGCCACTTCTCTCTTCTTCCCCTTGCGCTCTTCTAGCATCTGGATTCCAAATATCAGAGAAGATGTGTCACCATCCTCCTGCCATCCCAGAAGGCCTGCTTGCTTCTTTAATCCTATATTAAACTAAACTATAACACAACAATCCATAAACTACTTTCTTTGTTTTCAGAATAGTCAAATACTCACAAGTGCATTTATTTTAGTATCTTATAGACTTGTGGATTTATCATCATATTACTTTTGAAGCTTAAAGTTTGTAAAATGTATATTAGTGATAAATGGTAGACATTTTTTAGTTCTTAACTATCAGCTGTGTGGTGGGGGTAATGCAAGAACAACTTTTATACAAAACATCAGAACATTTAGTACTCCTTTAGTGGTTTATAACCCTGGTTTTAATGATCTTTGCAACACGCTGCAAACAAATTGATAGCACATTAACTTTAGTTTGGTAAGATAACTTCATTTGATAACAAACAATGAGAACATATGTCATGGGAAACTTTCACTAAGTGAAATATAAATGATTTTGAAAAATAGTATTATTTTCATAGAAATGTGGATGATTTTATAGTGGCAAACTTAATTAACTTATTTCTGGTTTTCTTAGCCATTTATATACCATATAATAAGGTACATTTAAGTGCTAGTGTAACTCATAATTTTCATTGAATCACATCATATATTTTTTATGCAACACAAGCAAATTCTTTATTATCCAGTTTTTTATTGATACCAATGCATTGCTTGTATAATACCACTTCTGTTCTAAATATATTTCTTTATAACAGTAAAAAATGTACTTAATTGGAATATCCATTTAGTTTTAATCTTTTTTTAATTGAAAGTATGTGAAATATAAAATAACAAAATGGAATATATCTTTGAAATTGTCCTTTATCTTTGTAGTATTCAAACAGAATAACTAGTGATTATGTAAATAGCTTTAAGAACATATTAAAACCCCAAAATCTGGAGTAATATATAAATAATGACATCTATTTTGCAGAGTTGTAAATTTGATGGCCAGCATTAGATTTCATTGGGTAATTCTTGTTGAATGAGTGGATAAAAACATGCATATGTTAATCAATTTAAGAACATTATTACAGAAATCTTTTGTACTATATATCTAATTCCTTAAATTGTCTTATTGGCATAGGAAAACCGTTGCAAATGTTTTCAAACATGCATTAGCACAATATGATTTAAAATAACATAGGGCTTTAAGTTTAAATATTTCCAAATTATTATATGTATGCCTAATTGTATAATTCTTATAAATAAAAACCAAAAACCAAACAAACAAACAAAACACATTTGGGGAAAATATGTCCAAGCTTCCTTCTTTCACTTTCTCTCCCTTTACTCGGCCTATTCTCTGTCTTATTTCTTCCCACCAGTCTGCCATCTCTTGTCTTTCACTGGAATGTGTGAAGCTTGTACTTTATGTGTGAGCTTTCCAGTAGTGCTCAGATATTCTCACTAGTCGTACACCATGGATGGAACAGTTCTAGAGGTGAATCTACAGATCTCTCACTTCCCCATAAAAACTTTCTTAGCCCTGCTATGCAAAATTAAGGCTTGCTGTTTCAACCACACATATTAAAATGTCTGGTCTAGTTCTCCATATTACCTATTTTCCCTTTAACTACTGAAAATTTTACCATGATGTTTTTCATACCATTTATTTTGCTTTTATGCATAGTGATATTTGCTTGTTATTCACATTTATTGCTTATCTTTTTATCTTATCTGAATGTGAAGTCCATAGAAGAAGGTTTAATATGGAATAGAATAGCAGAAACATCAAATAAAGTATCTGTAACACTCATATAACTGTCAAGTGAATAACTGAATAAATCCAACAAAAACAAAAGTGACAGTCAAAGTTTATATTCAATAGTAAGTAATGAAATTGTCATTATAGACTAGGATTTTCTTATATTAAGGACCTGATGTGACTTAACTAAACAGTATACCACATCAAACATCCTCACTAATACTGAATATATTTTCAGACTCAGATGAACATGCTTCCCTGTGCATTCATTTTAGTGGCAGTAATATTATGAAAAATTTACATATTTGGAAAACTGTAGATGCACAAGCCTTCCATTTCGATGTATTTTGCGCTATCAGTTGAGTAACTGAAAGTTTTCTTTCATCAAATAGAATTTATCAAACACTTGAATCATGGATCAACAGATATTAAATTATTTCTATGGAAACAATTCTGTAGTTTATTTGAGATGGCCAATCTATTTCAATTGTATTTATGGCAGATTTGAATAAAAATCTTTTTGATATAGATTTCAAAAATACTATTAATATATTATAATAATATTCATATATCACTGTTTTGATACGGTAGTGAAAAAATTTTTTGAGTATAAGACTTAAAATAGCATGATGTAGTCAGAAATTTGTAAGCATTTTAATTGAATGAGCTCTTCATATTTGCAATGGAAGATCAAGTGATTTCTCTTTGTAGCAGATTCATCTTGAGTTTTTCAGCATGAGAAGATGAGGAAAGGATAGGAAAAGTTGATACAAATACAGTACTATTGACAAATTTTTTTATTTACACTGCATGTATTTATATCTGATAGATTTTAGGGGTGCCTGTTTGCTAAATATGAACATGCTAATTAGAAGTAAACTGTTAAGAACATTTTTTGGAAGGTAAATTCAGTACATTTTATGTAAAATAAATTCTATTATAAATACAAAAGGTCTGCTTATAATTGAAAAACTAGCATGCCTGAAATTAACTGAATAAATTGGTATCAAAATTAAGAAAACTGCTGATTTTAAAACTATCAGATGTAGAGGTATAAATACATATAGTTTATTATTTGCTTTACAGGGTACTTTTCATGTGATTAAATGTATATTTAATTTGAAAAATTGACTTGATTAAGTGGTATGTTACAATATTATGTTTATTTATTAACAGAAAATATGTTTACTATAAACTATTAGTTTCATTTCTAGGAATCAAATTCTTTTTTAAGTTGCTTCTCTTTTGCTGTTTTTCATATCAGAAGCTATGTAATAAATTTTTCATACATTATTTTTAATATTTTAGCCAATAAATTGTCAAAGAAATTGAGCATAATTCTGTAATTCTTAAATTATATAAAGAGAATATATATACTTTTAAGCTTCCTATTCATTGCTTATATAAATCTATTTTACATATATAATAAAATATTCCATTTAAAATAATTTTCTGATTAAGCCTGATATTATGAAACATGAGTGAAAAATAAAGAAAAATTACAAAGTTGTATTAAGTGAAAGATATGAAAATGCTGATAAAAATATTGATAAATTTGAATTTTTATAAAAAATTTTGATGATTTTAATTAGTATAGGTACTCAGGAAAATAGTAGAATGTTACCTAAAAAAAAATTTAAGAATGGTGCTACCATATGATCCACATTCATGGGTACACATCCAATGGAAATGAAATCTTTAGAAACCTAAACTTTCATGCTTATTATAGCGTTATTGATGAGTTAAACAATACAGTCAAATAGGTTGCCTATGAAACAAAGAGATAAAGAAGTTGTAGTATTATTGAAAGCAGAATTTTTCAACCACAGAAAGAATGCAATGCAGTCATTCACAGCAACATGACAATTAGAGAAAATTAATTATCCTAAGTGAAATGTCAGTCAGAGAAAGACAATGTCTCATGTTCTTATTCATTTGTATAAGATAAAAGTTCAGTGGAGTAGAAAATAAAGTGATAGTCATAAGGGACAAAAAGGTTAAGGGATGAGAACTACGGGTAGATTAGATAATGCATGCCAAAATACAATTAAATCTGAACAATTGGTTCTGGTGTAGGATAACACACGGGATAACTTTAGGAGATAATTTATGCTTTACTTTTAAAAAACTGAATATGAAGAGCCCAAAGTTTCCCAAAACACAGAAAATATAAATATGTTAGGAAATGACAATCCTTAATGCCCTGAGTTTCATCATTACATATTTAACACATCAAATTATTTTACACATAAAAATATTTATGCATCAATGGATTTCATTTATATGTATAAGCAGTATGTACCAATACACTAAAAATGAAAAAATTGAAAATTCAGAAAATTAAGATATAAAATTAATGTACATGGCAATAGGATTGCAAAAACAACTAATAAAAATGAACTCACTCCGGCTGTTAATGCCTGTAAAGCAAGCAGTTGAGCAGGTTAAGACAGGCATTTCATAGGTAACTCAGTGAGATTTTTATCTCAAAGTAAAAATGAATGCCCAAAGCTAGGGTAGGGACATAGGTAAGTGCAAATTCCATCTGACACACACAAACGTGTGCATGTGCACACACAAGCACAAACACCCTCCAAAGCATCAAAAATAAAGGTACAAGACATAAAGAAGCTAAAAAGAAACAATAGCACTACATTGCTCTTGAAAAGCAGTGCAAATAAGAAAACAGAGAAGTATCTTTATGTACTGAGAAATAAAGACAGTGAACGTTCCATTGCATTCCAAAGCCGTGTTTTGTAAAAAATAGGTAAAATAAAAACTTTTTGTGAAATAAAAAGCTGAAAAATAAGTCAATGAAATGAATTTAAATGAAAGATTTGCTGCTCACTGTGAAATGGAGAAAAATGAAATGACTTGGAAAATCCAAGAAATATAAAATGATTCGTAAAGGAATAACAAGTATAATTAAATATCAGAGACTAACAATAGAACAGAGAAGAAATACTTGAAGTAATAATAAAAAATTATTTTCAAAATTAATGTAAGAAAACAAACCATAAGTCTAATTAACTCAGAGTTGCAAAAAATAAATACTAAAAAAATAGCAAAACATGTAATCAGGTCAATTTTAACTTCATGTAGACACATACATACACACATGCACATCTAAAAAGAAACTGAAGCATATAACATTTCCACTAAGAAATAAAGAAAATACATCAAAATTTTCTACATTTAAGCAAGCTAAAATATACATCAAAATTAGTATTGCTTAAATAAAAAGGTACCTCCAAACAACACCCAGGATCCATCAAAGTTGTCTTTTGACAGTAGCAGATCTGACTTCTAAATACATTAAATTTTTTCATGAATAAGAATGCAGGTCAGATTAAAGAAAA